TGCTACCCTTTTCTGATTCAAGACCATGGCCTTGGATTTAGAGGACCTGATTCTCATTCCAGCTCTTTTACACTCTGCTCCAAACCGCTCCAGCGAAAACTGTAGATTACGGTCTGATGAAGTCAACAGGACCACATCATCTGCAAAAAGCATCCCTCAAAACCATGGCTGCACCTAGAAATCCTGTCCATAAAAGTTATGAACAGAATCAGTGACAAAAGGCAGCCCTGGCGGAGTCCAATTCTCACCGGAAACAATCCGAACTTACTGCTTGCAATGTGGACCAAGCTCTAGCATGGTCACACATGGACCTACCAGCCTGAATCAAGGGACCAGGTATACCATACTCCTGGAGTATCCCCCCAGGTCCTCCCCGAGGGACGCGATAAAACGCCTTCTCCAGATTCAATGAGAAATGTTTACACCCATGCAAACATATTAATCCATATCCATTTAAAGAGGTCCTTCATTGGGGAACAACTTATTACCTATTATTTTTGAAAACTCAGAGTTTAATGTGAAAATTGCATCTTACACCTATTTCCTGCATTAGCTTCTAATGGAAAATAGACCGTGAAACTCTAAGATATGAAAAGACTGACCGTTCTATGTCAAGCTCTCACTTGGACTCAGTCATCTTGGACTGTGACGGGGAAAGCTGTTTTGTTGTTTAGCATCCAGGAAACAGCAGAGAATGTCATGACTAGTAGAAGCTAATCATTAACATTAGCAACTCCACAACACAGCGGAACTCCTTTAAGCTTGTGTTATTTGTGGAGATAAAACATTATTGTGGCTAAGCAACATCTGATCTGAGCTGAAAAGGGAATAGGATAACAGTGCATCATCATCAGATTCTTTAAGGTGTAATGTATTAAGTAATGTGATACGATTACAAAAGGTCATCGAGAAAATCCAAAGACAAGAAAACTGCACCAATCTGATGCAGCCTTAGAAAGAACGAACGCTTAGCCATGGTATGTGATGGCTCAATTATGCAGCTTTGGCAAGTACCTCAAAGAACATTTTACCCTGTATTACTCAATACAGCATTAAAGCAGCTGACATTTAAGAGTGCATAAATCACGGCGTTAAGAATAAGGGGCAGAGATGCAACACTGGACAGCTCAGCATTATTATTATGACTCAATAATGCTACTTTTATCAGTGACTGAAACAAGAGTGACGATTTATCACTTTCCCAACACACATCACTTTCTATTAGTGAAATAATCAGCAGCTTGCACACAGTAATCATCAATCAAGATGATCATAACTAGAGGGAAAAAGCAGTTGATCAAATCAACTGAAAAAGATTATGAAAAAAATACTTTGATGTTTAACCATAATAAATTGCAGCATAAAAGACAAAGAAATCATCCACATTTCTATTTTTAACCCTCCCACTGTCCTAATGGGTGACCCTGCAAGGAAAGTTGACCATTGAGCAGGATTGATGGTTTATCCCTTGAGGTCCACTTGACAGGTCACTCCTCACCCCTGCCACATGGACCCAAGGGATAAACCATCATCCCTGTTCAATGGTCAACTTTCCTTGCAGGGTCACCCATTAGGACAGTGGGGGGGGGGGGGGGGGGGGGTTAAAGAGGTATTTCAATTATATTTTTAAAGGCACACTCCGCAGTGTTGTTTGCTTTTAGCACCCCCTAGTGTCCATCCTCTGTGGTCAAACTGAAAATCAAACGTATCTTCTCGTTATGCATTCATCTTTTTAACACCTTTATCTAACTGCTGAAATGTCTCCCCAGACTTCGCTGGTCTCTACGGGAGTGATTTATCACTAAAGTAAACAAATCAGCTGTGTTCATGATCTAAAACATGCAGGAAACATGCTGGAACGAGACTGCAGCACCAGAAATGTCAGCTCCGTTTGTTTCTAAGTCGAACTGGTGGCGGCCCACCACTCTGAAGTCGCAAATGCAGTATTCTGACCACAGGGGGCGGTAGGGGTCTGAGTGACATTTCATTCAAAACAAGTGTTTAAAAATATAAAATGTTTGCAGTATGGCTTTAATACATTTGCAAGTGTGAATGAATGGGGGGGGGGGGGGGGGGACTCAGATGTGCTTGTTTCAGCAGATAATTCAGCTGGAGAAGAAAGTCGCTTCAGACAACAGGATCTGAAGTCTTATTTTTCTGATATTTGGACATCTCGCCTCTGATTGGTTAACAGCAACACGACTCTACCACTGACTCAATTTGCTTTGCAGCATTGATGTTTCATCATGTAAGCCATACTATTTCAGCCTTGTTATTTTAATATACTTACATTTTACTACCCCTTACATGAGCTTTCTTTAGTGAGCGCAAAGTCAATTTCATGGTTTGTCCCAGCGCTTTATAAGTCTGGCGGGCTGCCAAGCCTTGCTTGGTCCCCCGCCAGGCCAAGCATCCACCCCCACCCCTCTCCCACGCAGTCACTGATGACGCATGCTAGCGAGATGAGCCTCGCGCCCCTCCTCCGCTGTACACCTGTGCAATGACAATAAAATTATTTTGAATCTTATCTCCACAAATAACACAAGCCTAAAGGAGATTGGCCATGTTGTGGAGTTAATGCTAATGGTTAGCGTCTACTAGCCAAGATGTTCTCTCCTGTTTCCTGGACGCCAAACCAACAACAGCCTCCACCGTTATGAGCCAAGATGGGTGAGTCCAAGCCCATTGACGTAGATCTGTCAGGCTTCTCAAATCCTAGAGTTTTATCGTCTATTTTCTCTCAGAATGAAGGAAATTGGTGTAGGACACAATTTTCATGTTGGGTTACCGATCACTTTCAAAACATAAAAATGGTTTCTCAGAGAAGGACCTCTTTAAAGATGTTTCAAAAATTTTCACATTGTTTAGCCTGAGTCATGTTACCTAGCATTATTTCTTGATGAGTAACCATGACAACAAGAGCAGTTTTTACACTGAATGGACTGGCTGATAGCAATGCAGCATTGGATATTTAACTATCGTCTTGGAGGTTTAGTTGGAGCTAGTAACCAACTACCATCTGAGCTAATGTTCCATTAATCCACCTCTAAGATCATCTGAGTTTAAGGTTTGAAACTGTTGTTGCCAGGCAGACTATAGACACAAAGGACTGCGTTATTTCTCAATAAAATAAAATTAAAAACCTACCTTACATTTTCTTGTTCGTGCAACAGACGGGTGACGTGAGGAAACAGATCTGCCACACATTACTTTGTTGTTTCATTTAGTCTTTTCAGAGATAAACATAACAGGAAGGATCTGCCAGAAAACAGAAGGAAATAAAAGGTTTTATTGTCAACAACTGCAGTTGCATTTGTTCAACGGCTGCTACAAATGGCCGATCATAACTCCTTCATTTAAAGAGGAGCCTTTTCAGTTATTCTGCTGCCAAACATGAGGGCAAAATTAAAAGATGAACTAAATGTACAAGACTGAATATTTGTCACAACCTGGATTATATAACAACATTAATAGCTGTGTAATTAGTCAAATTAGAGGCCTTTCCAAGACTGAACGAAATAAAAACAAGTTTAAATGGCTCAGCATTTTTCGTTATTATTTAAAAAAATCTGTAAAATTTCCATGAAGGTTTTGAATATTAGATGTAAAACTTTCAGCCCAAATTAAATACGAATGGACATATTTTCCTTCAACATAGTAAAGTCCTATCAGTGACTTTAAAATGTATTGCTGCAGAGATGAAAACATGTAAGCACATTAACATTAAGACACCACATTAACACTGCCTCAACAGCAATTAAAAGAGCTCACCTATTACCAGTTACCTCTATGGTTTCAGGAGTCATAATTGAAAAGCAGTATAAGTTGAGAAAAATGCTATAATTAAATTACCTGAGTAATCTTTAGCACAAGGCTGGGGAATAAAGTGTTAATTAGGCAATTTGAGGCCAAAAAAAAGACCTTTCATTTAATAAAATAGAAACATCTATGTGAGTTGATGGAACCAGGAGCTTATCATCTTTAGCTAATGAAACAGTAACACATTTAAATTATTTTCTGACCTAAATATAATTAGCCAGTGGTTGACATCTGGTAGACAAAATTATGACATCTGACAATGTAGCACACATCTGGGTACTCAACATTTGACCATTAGGGTAATGACAACTGGGGCACCCATGAACCTTCCAACCCCCAACAGACCGGGGGCAAATGTAAGGCTTCCACGCTAGCACTGGCTTATTTAAACCACAAAACGTACCTTGCAGGTCATTCTTGCTTTACTTTAACATTTAAGAAATCAACCTCACCACTTCTTTCCAGCTCGCGTGTTGGCAAACAAACCTGACCCCCTAAAATCTGGACCAAGTAGACCCCTTAAAAGCCTGGATGTCAGTCATGTCACGGTCAAAGTCAGTATGTGACATTTTTGCCACTTCTAGCCCAAATACCACTTGATGTTGTTGTTTGATGATGCACACACAATGTGACATTAACAATGTTTGGCCACAAACCTTTGGAAACATTTGCCATAATTTTCTAAATTAGGTCAAATTAATAAATCCAATACTTTTTATGCATTTTAATCAGGCCCAAAACAAAATCGCTAAGAGGACACAAATAACATTGAACTCTAAAATAAAACCATTTCAAAAACACTAACCATATACAGACGTTTGATAATATTCATATAAAACTGCATATAAGTTATGCTGGAAAAAAATGATCAAGCCACTTATAATCATGCCACTTCACCTGTGCAGGATTTATTTAGTTTCTGAAAGTGAAGCAAGTGTGCCACCCAGTGGACACAAATATTACGTGCATTTGGGTAGCTACACCTCATCTAAACTTAAATAAACACAAAACAAAACAAACAAAAAAAACTAAAATATATATTTTTTTTCACCCATGAATATCCTCTTGTAGCCAGTTTAGGTGACAAACATGTGAGTTAGCCTACTCACTTTTAAACCAACCCAGGTGATTCAAATTAGCCACTAATTAAGTGAAGCTCTTTAAAACAGCACCACGTGAGCCAATTAGTTGGTAGAACTCATTTTATACTACTGGAATTAACAGTTCTTCCATTTACAACATGACTAACGACTTGTCCAAGAGGAAGGGAAAGACTTCGGGCGATAAAAAAGTGAAGAGAAGAGTCAAAAGAAGAGAGACTTACGCCATGTACATCTATAAGGTTTTAAAACAGGTGAGAGACGGCTCGCGCTGTTGCCAAACGCTCCAACAATCTTTTGACCCCCCTCCTGTCTGCAGGTCCATCCGGATACGGGGATTTCCAGCCGAGCCATGAGTATTATGAACTCCTTCGTGAACGACCTGTTTGAGAGGATCGCCACGGAAGCGTCGCGTTTGGCTCAGTACAACAAGCGCTCCACTATCTCCAGCAGAGAGGTGCAGACCGCTGTGAGGCTGCTGCTGCCTGGGGAGCTGGCCAAGCACGCCGTGTCCGAGGGCACCAAGGCCGTCACTAAATACACCAGCTCCAAGTGAACCTTGGATTTAGTGGACTCTCTTAGTGGCCACCATCGTGGCCACTTAAATAAAGGCACAAATGTACTTTTTTTTTTTTTAAGCCACGTTTTTATTTTTTCACCTTTATACCGCTAGAGGGAGCAATTGCACAGCGTTTAGTTCCTAATTCAAATGTGATTGTAGAACTACTGCTATAATTTATTGTTGCCCATGAGAATTGGTTTATACATTTTTGTACATAAGATTGTGTCAAAATGTTTACAGCAATAAAGGTCCTCTGGGGAAAGTGGTCCAATTTGTTGTTTTTGGGCTCTGTATAAACTTGAAATTGTGGGTTAAAGGAACGACGGTCGGAATTGGTTTGGATAATCTATGACAAATCATTGCTAACTGTATTGAATTAAAACAGTTGAGATTTATTTAAATTTAACCTTAAATCTTTTCCAAACTTTAGAGTCAATAATACTGGTTAACTAATAGGTACTATAATCTCTAAAGTCATTTGAAATGGCTGCTTGGAACAGGGGAAAATTAAAACCTGCAGGCTGGTGGACTTAGAACTGGATATGAGCACCGTCATAAGCTTTCTGATTTAATTCATCTTCTAATAAAATTGCTCAATTCTGCCCCTCATAATTATCCTTTTTAAAATTGGCTGCAGCACCTGTACTGAACAGCTTGAATAAATGAGATGAGCAGCTGTCTGAGCTGGGAAAGCTTTCCACCAGATGCTGATTAGTAAATTCAAGCAATGAGTCAAAACATGCTTGCACAAGAACGGATTATTTTCTAAGGTGTTCCAGAAATAGTGGGTCTGCACTTGAAAGTCCTTTAGCTAAAGAAATTGGTTATTTTTTCATCTTTAGTTATGAATTGTAACATTTTAGTTTTAATAAGAGAACTGATCACATGTAATTTTGTTAGAATGAACCAGTATTTTATAAATGTGAATTTGAAAAAAACTACAATCTATGGAAAATGTGCAAAAATAAAATTGGAGCGTTATCACATTTATGGTTCTAACAAAATATCCCATTCTTACAAGATCATTTTCACCTTTGAACAATCCCACTAGAAAATATAGCGTACAAACTTCAAAATATATATATTGTAAAGATGTTATAAAGTTAACTTTATAAATACCGGTATTGTTCTTTCTACTCCTCCTTATTTTGATTCCCGAAAAGGACAAAAGGATTCAAATTATTTTAAAGCTAAAATCTTCACTTCTAAATGGCTAAAAAGAACAAACTTGTAGCAGCAGCCCCCCTTCTAATTGCTGTTGGAAACTAGAGTGTTGTTCTATTTTTGGCCAGCAGAGGACGCAAATTCCCAGTTCTTTCAAGACAACAGAGTTTCAAAACCATATTATAGCACGTTTTTCTAGTAAGTTAACTATAAATCCACTTCCTTCTTCTTTCTACTCCTTCTCTTTAATATTATTATCCCTGAGATGAAAATTTACATAAATTTTCGACAAAGGAAAGATTTTTTTAAAGTTAATTCAGATAATGAGGCTAAAATAGCCACCCATCCACTTTCTTCCACTAATCCGGTGTCGGGTCACGGAGGCAGCAGCCTAAGTCGAGAGAACCAGACTTCCCTTTCCCCAGCCGCTTGGGCCAGCTCTTCCAGAGGAATCTCAAGGCGTTCCCTGGCCAAGTGAGAGAAATTGTCCCTCCAGCAGGTCCTGGGTGTCGCTTTAGGCCTCCTCCCGGTTGGACTTGCCCGGAAAACCTCACTAGGGAGGCGTCAAGGATGTATCCTAATCAGATGCCCGAACCACCTCAACTGGCTCCTCTCGATGTGGAGGAGCAGCGGGTCTACTCTGGAATGTCTTGGAAGTTTTGTCGGAGGGAATTGAAGCTCCTTCTGACAGGAACTAGTTTGCCCACCCCTGCTCAGCGCCTTTCAATGGGAGCAACTCCAGAGTGGTAGAGTGACCAACCCCTCTCAAGGAAACTGGTTCCGGAGCCAGAGCCATGCGTTGAGGTGAGTCCGACTATATCTAGTCGGAACCTCTCAACCTCACACACCAACTCAGGCTCCTTCCCCACCAGAGAGGTGACATGTGCCAAGAGCCAGCTTCTGTAGCCGAGGATCAGGCCACCAATTTCCCCGCCCTCGACTACCACCCATCACACACTACACCCAACCCCTTTGGCCCCTCGCACGAGTGGTGAGCTCATGGGAAGGGGGACCAATGTTTCCTCTCCTCTTCAAAACAAACATGGTGTCAATAAACAAGCTCACTAACTAGTTAATTTTGAGATCACGATAGAAACAAAAAGGACAGCAGCACTATCGTAGATGGTGTGAAAGACCTCTAAAGCACAGGGGTGTGTCCAGGGAGTGGCCTGGGATAGCACATGCCATCCTTGGAATCTGATTGGCCACCCCAAGTGTCACCACACTAATTTACCTTTGAATAGGCTTTTCACTGTCCACAAAAGGCTTGGGGGTAAAACAAAAAAAGCATAACCATTGGTGCCACCCATGCACAAAGTTGTACCTCACCTGGGCCACCCCATTTTAAAAGATCTGGACACTTCACTGCTAAAGCAGAAACAGAGTCACCATGGTGAGCGTATCTCACTCATTTTGTCAACTCCACCTACTGGTTACTCGTATATTGCAGCGTTCGATCGCGTCGCATTAATTTTGGGGGACACGCACAAACAACGCTCCAAGTAACATGTGGCAGCCATTTTAAACAGGCGTTTGTGTCGTTAAGCAGCAAGTATATCACCGCCCTGAGGATTTATAATCACTATTTAGGTCAACTGGATGGCTTTCTATATTAAGGGTTAAGGTTAGCTCTCTGCTGGACCAAAATTACTACAGGCAGCATTCATAAAGCTAAACAAAACAAAAGTCAACATCACTTCCTGTAGATTCCTTCAAAATAAATCATACCACTTAAAATTATTGCAGATTTTAAAATAATGTTGAAGCATAGTTGGTCTAAATAATGGAGAGCCAGAACGTCTTCACTTCTAAAAAACTATTTAAATTCTAAAACTCAACAAACCTACTTTAATTATCTGTATGCAAAATTCAATCAAGGAGCTACAGTTGGAGCTATTAGCAGCTAGCTACAAAACAGAGAACACATTTTAAAGCTTTCAAACAATTTTTGTTAAATTCCAGAAGTAATTGATTCTAAAAACTTGATATTTTAGAACAAAAGTTAAAATTTTATGTTGAAAAAAAACTTGGTTTTTGCCTATTGTTTTTGGTAGCCTGGAGCAAAAATGAGATAAATCTGAATTAATTTAAGCTTTTTACACCGTAAAAGATCTGAAATACAAACAAGACTAATTTGAATGAAGTTCACTTACTTTACACTTTTACGTGTGATTTCTCGTAAGATGCTCTGCTACATATGACAATGTTCTGATTTCTAAATTAATCCCTGATTAGGTTCACATAGACATTGGTGACGGTTATTATTCAGTTAACCCCTAAAATGACATATTTAAAAACTGGCACGGAGAATAATGCAACACTCAGATCCTTGTTGTGCATTTCAATCAGCTTTTTAAGAGACGACGGTGAATAGCACTTGATTACGAGATAATGACACCAGCGTTTGCATCAGTTCAATCTGCATAAAACGGAGGAACTGATAAAGGTCTCTCTAATTAGGATGCTGTTTACATCAGGCTTTACGTACACCTATTAGAAGGCGCTTATCAACACCCCACAAAGCCAGGCTCTCTGTGATAATGCACATGGGTGTGACTCCCGACACTGACTGTTATTGTTGAGAAACCCATTTCAGATGTTCCTCAGTATTACTTGTAATGATATGAGCTGTTATCACGAGGGTGATGCAGTCTTTGATGGCAGTGACTTTGCTCATGATTATCGTGGCCATTTAGGTTTTGTATCTTGCACCGCAACACCCCTCCTCTCCTGCCCGGCCTAGCAGCAGTCACATCGCTGTGTGCTTTAGGCAGACTACTATGAACACATTATGGATGGATGCATTAGTGAGTGATGCAGAGCTTGGGATGGCTTGCCTTGTTTTCATGTGAGAGTGCATCATTAGAAAATGTTCCACTTGGCAGGGAAGCGCGTATTAACTGCAGCCGCAATGAAATGAGGTTGTGATAGATGGTTAAAGTTATAAAGGACTATTAAGTTGAAATATGAACCTTTCAATTGTCATGATGAAACAGAGGGTTATTTGCGTGGTGATCAGTGCATTGAGAGACAATTGGAATCCGCAAAGACCGATACTATACATTATAAACAGTGGGGTCGGAGCTGGAAGAATACAGAAAAAGTAATCATGCCGTTGCTGAATAGTTCGGAGCTACTGTTCAGTTCTTAGTTCCGTGAAATTCATTTGGGTTCGTCACCAAGAACTTGAGCTTTGTGATGAGATCTCAGGAAGTTCCGCCAAAGTCCTGATTTGGTTCAAATTGACATTAAAGAGCATTAACGCTGAAGTAGTTTAAAAGAAAAAAATAAAAGCTTAGATTTGACAACCTCCTTGTACTACGAGATAATCTTTCAAAATTAGAATTTCCCCTATTTGGTGCCAAAGATGCCTCCTGGATGCCTCCCTGGTGAGGGTGTCTGGCTGGGTGGACACCCAAGGGAAGACCCAGGACACACTGGAGGGACTATGTCTCTCAGCTGGCCAGGGAACACCTTGCGATTCCCCCCGGAGAAGCTGGCTCAAGTAGCTAGGGAGAGGGAAGTCTGGGCGTCTCGGTTTAGGCTGCTGCCCCCACGACCTGACTTCGGATAAGCGGCTGAAAATGGATGGATGGTGCCAAGTGATTAGCGTAGCATTCAACTACGCTAAATCATATTATTTTTGTAGCATTAGCAACAATCGCGAGTACCAGTTTCCCGCCTGATTTAGGCGTTTCTCTGCTTGAACTCTGCAGATTTGATTAAAACGTGTGATTAGCAGCTCCTGGAGAACCCAAAGGCTGAAATCATTCAGCAGTTAGAATTAGGTGCATCTGAGCAGGAACATGCTGAAAACATGCAGTGGCCCTACATTATCGATACAGCACTATTTGTGGGCGTGTGCGCGGTACGACGTGTGGCTTTAATCGAAGCCTTCTCATTGTCTTTTACCATGTTGCCACAGTGACCTACACTTGTTCCACCAGGATAGAAACTTTAGATCCTCTCTTTCGTCGTCACCATGTGACCTGAAACATGTAAATCGTGTATAATCACTCTGTTTCCGAGTTGCTGAGATATTAGTCCTCGTTTCACACAACTCCTGATTGGAAACGCTTTTATAAATCATGAAACATAAGAGGCACCTGATGGTTAATTGAGTGCTCTGCTGCTATAATGCTCTCTCTAAACTTCTGACTCCTTCTTAAACTAAGAGTAAGATCCAATTGCAGACCCATTAGCATTTAATATTACTGTAATTACTGTGTACATTTCATTATGTTCTCGGTGTATTAAATGGCTGCTCAGTGTGTTGGGAGGGCCGTGGTGTAATCTCTTCCTGTATTAATGTGAGCCACAGTACTCAAAATAGCATTAAGGGCCTCATAATCAGAGGGAACTAATTGCCTGTGATTGCATAAATGAAGTGCCTCACTCTCATCAGGGCTGTTGCTGATGTCCAGCCCGCAGACGGGATGGCGGTTGACCACAATGCAACAAAACTCAGAGAGGCAGCTACTGGTGGAAGAAACCAAAGATCTAATATGTCCACGGGGGGTTGTGAGGGCAGGGGGTGCTGCTGATGCTACTGCTGATGCTGTTTTCTTTCCATCAGAGTTGCAGAGACAAGAAAAAAAGAAAAAGAAAAGAAACATGAATGCCCACCATTTGAGAAATGAATTTATCGTGGTGGCTGTCTTTTTCCCCATTAGTAAGTGTTTAGTTCAGCGTTTTAAATAATTGCGTTACCAGGAATGATATTTAAAATACATTTGGGAGTCAATGAGGCAGGAAAGTGCCTACATGTTTTGCTGATGACACCCGGGCCATTTGGAAGACATCAAAGTAGAGAGGAGGTAGCCCAGATGCATATTATAAACTCATTATGTATATCATTTAAAAAGGATGTACTTCAGCCGCAAAAACAATATTCCTACTCTTTCTCTTTCTCTCTGGTAATGTGTGTTTTCAAAGTTGAAACTCTTACTCGCGTTCTGTTTAATGTGGCATCTATTACCGAACTGTAACATAAAACAAATGACCCTGATTTCCATATTGGAACAATCGTTAAGGTGTGGATGACGCGCGGCTACGCCTTTGTGTTTTTAAATGCTGAATAAGGCATAAAAAAAACTTCTCCACCTGTGGTGCAAACCTTGTTTCTGCAGATCTTCACAGACTCCCTTCACAGAGGGGGACAAACACTCGTAGAAATGTGTATGTTTTTATGCACAGTGCATCAAATCCAACATATGGTCACATGAAAACCCTTAGATTAGCTTTTAGAAACCCTACTAGAAACCCATCGTTGGTGCATCGGGTTTGATTCGTACCTCTGGAAAAACGGCCATTCATCAGTCAAAAGAGATGTTTATCAGATGCCTAGTGAGTCGGCTTAAGAGGCTTAATTATGTACCGTCCCTCTGTCATCAGAGCGCCACACGTGGGGCAGAGCGACACAGCGGTTGCCAGTCATTCAGCCTAATGTTCTAAAGCAGGGAGCCGGGTGGATCCATAAAATCCATTAGAGCTCCTAGAGAAAAAGAAATACAGTGTAGAGAGAGAGATTTGCAAGGGCCTACAAGCAGGGCATTCCTGTTTGTTGTTTCAAAAACATTAATTAAATGTTCAGGTTGTGCATCTTTTCCTTTATTACTGCAGTCAGTCTTGTCACGATATGGTGTTGCAGTACCCAGGATGACACGAGGCAGGGATGAAGGTTAAGTAAAATCCTTTATTTAAAAGGAGAGCCAAAAACAAAGTAAATCCAAGGCTGTGAGCCAAAATCCAAAAACCAGATAAAGATCTGGAAATCCTAAAACTCTGGTTTATACACAGAGAAACAAGACTGACAGAACTACAAACAATGGACCGACAAGAACAATGAGACAAGGAGAGGCTTTATACACTGGGGTTGGAGTGATAGGGGGGCAGCAGTAGCTCAACAGGTTGAGCGGGTTGTCCAGTAATCAGTTGCAGGTTCGATCCCGGCTCCGGACAGAGAATTCTGCTGTTGTGTCCTTGGGCAAGACACTTAACCCACCTTGCCTGCTGGTGGTGGTCGGAGGGACCGGTGGCGCCTGTGCTTGGCAGCCTCGCCTCTGTCAGTGCGCCCCAGGGCAGTTGTGGCTACATCGCAGCTTATCACCATCAGTGTGTGAATGTGTGTGTGAATGGATGAATGATACACTGTAGTGTAAAGCGCTTTGGAGTCCTTACTCTGAGAGGTGCTATACAAGTGCGGGTCATTTATCATTTATCATTTGAGATGAGGAGCAGGTGTGTGGAGTGAGGGCTGGAGGGAAGGCAGGTGACAATAATTACCTAAATGGGGAAACAGAACCAAGGGAGGACAGATAAACCTAAAACTACAAATCCAAACTAAAAGGCTGCGGGAAGGACTAACACACACACACACACACACACACACACACAGAGACATAAGTAACTCACACACACATAAACTGGGCTGGGGAACAAGAGGCTGGAGCTGCAACTGGAGGGACAGAGGATAACGAACACCGGACCTGAGGGAATGATAAAAGGTCCTACAAACAGAAGACACAATATTGAGACGCAGACAAAGGACACATGAGGGCGCTATGAGACACAGAAGGGAAACTAGAGAGGATGGAGACAAATCAGGAGACACATAAAGGAGGGGGCAGACGCAACAATGAATAATGACTATAGTTGTTTATTTAATCCTCATTCTGGTTGGCAAACATCATCTTTCTGTGTAATTTAAAACATATTTCCATCCATCCATTTTCATCCACTTATCTGGAGTCGGGTCGCGGGGGCAGCAGTCTGAGAGAGACCCAGATTTCCCTTTCCCCAGACACTTAGGCCAGCTCTTCCGGGGATTCCTAAGGCGTTCCCTGGCCAGCCGAGAGACCCTCCAGCGTGTCCTGGGTCTTCTTTAGGAAAACCTCACCAGGGAGGCGTCCAAGAGGCAACCAGATGCCCGAGCCACCTTAACTGACTCCTCTCAATGAGGAAGAATGGCCGATCTGCTCTGAGCCCCTCCCGGATGACCAAGCTAAGGGAGAGCCCAGACATCCTGTGGAGAAAACTTATTTCTGCCGCTTTAATCCACAATCTCATTCTTTCCATCACTACCCAAAGCTCGTGACCATAAGTGAGGGTAGGAACGTAGATCAAATGGTAAATCGAGAGCTTCGCCTTCCAACTCAGCTCTCTCTTCACTTATTTCCTTATTCATCCCAAAAGAAGCAGCTTTATTTGTATGGCACATTTCAAACACAAAGGCAATTGAAAGTGCTTTACAGAAGCAAGAACAGCAAATACAGTAAATCAAACAAAGAAATGTAGATATTAATTTAACAAAAAGACAAAAGGCATAGTCAAAAGAGTAATCAATAAATCAATCAATCAATCAATCAATCAATCAATCAAAGCTTTATTTATAAAGCGCCTTCCGCAAGCCTGTCAGGAAGCCCAAAGCGCTGAACATGGTTCAGTTGAAGGTAAATATATTGAATAAATCAAAAATAAAAGCAATTCAAATTACAAAATAGGTGAAACATTCTGTTTAGCAGTTACAGTGCAGAAAGTGCAGCAGCATACAAACAATTAGACTCAATCTGCAGCCTAACTAAAAGCTGTCAGATAGAAGCAAACGTTAGAGGTCAGAGAGAGGCATAAAAATAGCCTCGACTTGTCACACCACAGGGAGGGGGTCTCATGCCGAATATCAAAACAACTCTGTAAACCAACCCTGCAGGCTAAAAGTGGACAACGGCCAGACAGGATTCAACAACTCAAGTGAGACAGGTCTTCTTAGACCGTCTCCCTTGTTCATCCACATCTTTTAAAACAATCTTTACCTCCTGGAGACAAATCCTAGCTACAATGTCCCGAAGCAGCTTTGCCTTCACCTCCACGGCCTTGCGTTCCCTTGAGCTTGACAGGGACATGCTGGAAAGAGACAAGTACAGGAGGCAGCTCGCCTCCCATCACTTTAGCAGCTATATGCTAAAGAAAGAGACCAAGGTGGACCAGTCCAGATCCTGCAAAAATCGCCCACCGGCTACCTGTCAAGACGTGGTTGTCCAAAATGCTTTGTATACAGGAGACCTGGAGGCACTGAAGCAACTGTTTCCAAGAGGATCCACAGCAAACATCGTTATAGAGCCGCGGGGAGAAGAGATGCGCTGGGTCGCACGGGGAGAAGGTAAGATTTCAAAAAAATAAAAATGTAATTAAGTTGTTTATTTAATCCATTATTCAATCTTTTAAAATGACTTTAACGTGTAAATAGAAGTATCTCAACATGTTTTTGAAGAGACAGCACTGTCATATTTATAGATATGACAAGGGTCCATCGTTATGTCTGTGAAGGTTCTCAGTCATCCAGGTCATTGTAGTCTAATGAGCTTTGAAAGAAAAAGCGTCTGGACTTCTTTGAGTTGCTGGAAGACGTTTCACCTCTCATCCGAGAGGCTTCTTCAGTTCTAAGGACAAATGGTGGAGAGTCCCAGACAGTGTTGCCAGTTCCAAAATCCCACAATATCGTACAGAGAGGCTTAAATTATCGTTTTTCAGTACAAATTATCGTACATTATAAATTTGATAATAATGTTCTATAAACGACTTCTCACTCCAATATAATATAACAAAGAAGGTGTTTTATATTGCCCTGTTTAAATAAACATCTTTAAAACCAGTAATATAATGCTTATAAACGTGCAGAGTGTGTCGGCACCACTCCGACCTCCACGCATTGACACAGTGTGCACATTTGCGCAGTCCTATTCATTTCATTTCTACATAGGTTAAAAGCACGCGACAAAACATCACAGCAGTGGAAAAACTGACCCAATAAATGACACAGCAGCCTACTCACCTAGTTGCTGATCTCGATCTCATCTGATTCACTGTCTGTCACAGCAGAATGCCTTTAATCACCTGTACTAAGTGGTCTGTGCTTCTCATTGCAATGTTGTGCTGGGCTAAAAAGCCACATAGCTTGATTTCAGCGTTTTTCACATCATTTTCAAACTTCTCTTTTTCATTAGTTTGTAGGAGACATTTATAAACCTGTAATCACTGAGGTGAAATCTGACTTCAGAACAGTTTAAAATTATGTAATTGACTTGGGAAAGCCACAGCAAAAGATAGTGTTACTAGATGCAATGTGAAATTATCGAACATTTGAGGATTTTTGAAACTATTGATCGTACATCGTACAGAGCCCAAAATTATGGTACAAATACGATAATTATCGTACATCTGGCAACACTGGTCCCAGATTCAAACCCAGTGGGAGTTTCCCCCCGAAGAGGGAACAAAAGACCCCCTGATGATCTTCTACATAAACACATGAGCCAAGGTGTGAGGGTGGGTGTGAGTCCTATTCAGCCAGAGTTTCGGGTGAGCTCATTGTGAAGCCTGGCCCCACCCTATCATGTGGGTCAGATGGCCCAGGATATGCGTGGGCGTTGAGACATCTGGGAAGGAATCTCAAAACTGGATTTTAGATGGCAGACAGTTAGTGTCGTAAACCACCGCCTCTGTTCAAAGATGGTTGCTCACAGTGGACATAAATGGCTTCCTTTACTCCTCTTTCAAACCATCTGTCCTCTCTGTCCAAAATGTGAACGTTGGCATCCTCGAAAGATTGACCTTTGTCCTTTAGATGCAAATGGACTGCTGAGTCCTGTCCCGTGGAGGTGGCTCTTCTATGTTGTGCCATGCGCTTGTGAAGTGGCTGTTTAGTTTCTCCGATGTAGAGGTCTGGGCATTCCTCGCTGCACTGTACAGCATACACAACATTGTTCAGTTTGTGTTTAGGGGTTTTGTCTTTCGGGTGAACCAGTTTCTGTCTGAGTGTGTTGCTGGGCCTGAAGTACACTGGTATGTTGTGTTTGGAGAAAACCCTCCTGAGTTTCTCTGATACACTGGCTACATAGCCATTTGACCTTAGAACTGAAGAAGCCTCTCGGATGAGAGGTGAAACATCTTCAAGCAACTCAAAGAAGTCCAGACGCTTTTCTTTCAAAGCTCATTAGTCCATTGTTATCTTTTCTTTATGAGAAACATCACCGTTATAGACTCAGTCCGTTAGACTAATGCCTGCATTTTTACTCACGCAATGATCACAAAACGACCCATCACCATCAGTCATTTTGGGAGATTTTGTTTCCTAAAATGTAAAAGTTAATTTTTCCACAAACTTTAGTAGAGTGGATAAAAAACTAAGGCAGGAGTCAATTGATGCCTTGGCTCCCATGAACTACTCTGGCATGGTTTACCAGGGCAATATCACATGACACCTCCCTGAAATAGCCCCGTGTGCACAAACAACCCACACAAGCGATCCTTTCATCACAAACCACACAACTGCAAGCTTTAACTAAGAAAAACCAGCTAAGTGGGAATAAATGGCCTATTTGGCGCCCAAGATAAAGTGGAAGAAGCCAAAGAAATACCGTGAGGATGTGATCGCCACAGCCAAGGCCACGGGAGGCATCCTGCAGTTTTGGAATTCTCTTCTTGTAGGAGATGAGCTGACTGTTCTCAGCATTGTGGACGACGACGAATACAGCAGCCTCATTGATGCCATTTATGACACCAGCAATTTAGAAGAGTGGAAGAACTTCCGCTTTAACTACAGAGGCCTCAGTGGGTTTAAAAGTCATTTTTGTGTCTATGTTGCTGATGAACTAAACCAGAACTCTTGTGACATGCCTGCTTCTAAACTTTGTTGCTTTTGCTCCTGCTGGCAGGACTGTGGTCTCTGACTTACGAGCAGGAGCTGACGACGCCGCTTCACATAACTGCCGGGCGAGGATTCGCAGACTGCCTGCAACTTTTACTTCAGCGCGGGGCAAACGTTGACCTGGCACCAGGGGGCACCACTGCGCTGCACGAGTCCTGTGAAAACGGCCAGCCGGAGTGCACCAAGTTGCTGCTGACCTATGGTGCAAACGCAAATGCCACCTCAGAAGAAGGCCTCATGCCTTTGCATGTTTGCTCAAGCCACGAATCCCTCGAGTAAGTGTGATGGAATAAAAATGCTTGTGTTTTGAAATCCTTTTCTTGAGCTGGTAAGTGCTAAAATGACCCTTTACAGGGTTAATGAAATTTACTCAGACCCCTCCCACCCTCTATGGCCAGAATATCACACTTGCAACGTCAGACTAGCGAGCTGCTACATGTTAAATAGAGTGGACATACCCGGCACTGCAGTCTGCTTCCAGCACCTTTCCTGCATATTTTAGAAGAAGAAGAAGAAAATATCATTTCTATAGCGCCTCTCAAGATAAAAATCACGAGGCGCTTCACAAAAGCAAAACAAAAAATGTTAAAATATAAAAAAGCATTTAGAAAATGTTTAAAAATATATTTAAAATGAGCAAAAATAGACAATTGGGATTTAAAATAAAAAAAGTTAAGAAAGAGAGAGAGTGAATAGGAAAGAGGGAAATCAGTGGATCCTGAGGAAGGTGGAATAGGTGGGGAGAGCAGAATAAAGAGAGAGTGGTGAAGAAGGTCATACAAAAGCCAGCTTGAACAAGTGAGTCTTCAGCTGCTTTTTGAAGGAGACCATTGAGCCCACTGATCTCAGGCTCAGGGGGAGAGAGGTCCAGAGTCTGGGGGCCACAGCAGCAAATGATCTGTCACCTTTGGTCTTTAGCCTGGTGCTGCACAACCAGTAGGCTTTGATCACTGGACCTCAGGGACCTGCTGGGGGTGTAGGGACTAAGAAGATCACCAATGTAAGATGGTGCTTGTCTGTGTAAGGCCCTATAGACCAGAACCAGGATCTTGAAATGAACCCTGAAGTTGACTGGCAGCCAGTGAAGCTGGAGGAGAAGCGGGGTGATGTGGGTGTGTTTGGAGGACTTGGTCAGAAGCTGAGCACAGGCATTCTGAACCACCTGTAGACGGTTCAGGGAGGTTCTGCTCAGACACGTGAAAAGAGAGTTACAGTAGATTTTAGATCGTGAACACGGCTGATTTGTTTAATTCGGTGATGAATTGCTCCTGTAGACACAAATAAAGGTTGAGGAGACATTTCAGCATTTAAATAAAGTTGTTAAAACGACAAAGGACAGCGAGGAGATAATTTTTGCTTTTGGTTCTACTAAATGGACACTAGGGAGTGCTAAAAGCGAGTCAAAACTGCCAAGTGTGCCTTTAAAATCTCTTGTGCATGCATTTTTTGTTTTCTTGGATCACAATAGTCTACCTGATGTTCAGCCGTAATAATTATGATCTTTTTATCATACCATCCAGGAAATACCAGCGAAGACACAATGTAATCTTAATAGTCCAGGTGATCAAACAGGTGCTGGAAAATATCATCCTTACACAATAAATATGATCCGGCAGAGAAAGATTTTCAAATAATCACATTTAAAAGATAATGGCTTATGTTGATTAAGGACCACTTTAGCTCCTCTCGAGGCCTATTTGTATGAGTCAGGTATAAAGTTTAGGATGCACTGATCAATTTCTCCTTTTCTGCAGATGTGCCAAGCATCTCCTTCAGTATGGAGCTGCAATCAACGGTTGCAGCCTGGATGAAGACGACTCTCCGTTACACGTAGCAGCCAGAAATGGCCTGCAAGACCACGTTGAGCTATACCTGCGCCACGGGGCCGCTGTGAACAAACAGAACTACGAGGGTCTCACACCCCTGAATGCAGCGTGCGCCCAGCCGCAGGAGTTGCAGGACCTCGACTGTTACTTCAAGCTGTGCCAGACACTGCTGGGGGCAGGAGCTGATGTCCACACCGTGGATCAGGACAAACGCAGTCCTTTGCACATGGCCTGCAAGAATGCAAATCCAGATGTTGCAGATCTGCTGCTGGCCAACGGAGCCTGGCCTAACAACATGGACTATGGCGGCGAAGCCCCCATGCACAACATCTTAAAGGTAGTGTGCTACAAGGCTGCACATCACCCAGAAAGGATCGTCCGTGCTCTGCTCAATCATGGCTCAATCAGAGTGTGGCCCGGTGCACTCCCCACGGTAGGAAACTGATTTGTAGGAAACCATTAAAACAAAACATGCAGATGCAGGAGAGAATGCTACCCAGAAAGTTCTGCATTAATAATGTAAACCAATTATTCATCAAGGTGGCTCTTTTCTTTTGCATCATTAGCAAATGTCGCACATGCAACAGATTAGGAGTCTTGAATCACTGCAGCGTTCTGCAGGTTTCACAAGTTCAAATCATCCCCTTTTCATGGCACAACACAAAGTGTGGCACTCTGCAGGAAACAGACTACAACTATCAGTGAACCCACGTGCACTAGACAAAATGCCTAGTTCCTAATTAGGCAAGTGTTAATAAGAGATTAATTAGCACTAATTGCATAATTTCCAGTTAAACCCCTGGAGGGAAGACCAATCTGTTCATTTCACAAGTGTTTAATTACTTTATTTCTTCTGTTGTGTGGAGTCACAAGCTTGCACATGAACTTAAGTTTTTATAGGAGTCTGCCAGCTCTGCTGTGAGTTGTTACATTCCAGGTTTTGAAGCACTGCTCAGAGTCTCCAGCCACCATCGAGGTCCTCCTGAACGCCTACAGTCACCTCAAAGTCACAGACACCTGGGTGGAGTCTGTGCCTGCAGAGGCATTAAAGGCAAGACGTTTGAGTCATTACAACAAACAAGATTATACAAAAGTGGATTTTTTTTCACATTATCTCTCCTAATGGGGGCTGTGTGTTATTCTTAGTAATTATACGTTTTAAAATGAAATGCTTTGAACATATGATGTGGTTTTAAAACAGTTTTAGTCCATTTTCTCCATTTATTAGGTGATAATTTTCATTTTATTTCACCTATTAAGAGAGAAAATTAAAGGATCTTGAGGAGGTTTCCCCAGCAGACTGATGTGATATTTAATATTTTAAAATTATTTTTAACGTTTGATGTTATTCTGTGTTAATCCAACCAGAACAACAGAGAGTTCTTCGAGTCCATCTTCTCCTTGGCGATGACTCCTAGTTCGCTGCAGCACTTGGCCCGTTGCAGACTCAGGATCCTCCTGGAGGGTCGAGTACACAAGGTGGTCCCAAAACTGAGTCTGCCCACCTTTATAAAAGACTACCTGCTCCTGGAGTGCAGAGGATATGTACACTAAGAGCTGTTTGAGTTCGATCTGAGGGAAACTTACTCAGAATATAAGGAACTATTGCTTTTTCAAAGGCAAAAAGGCACATGCCGCTTGTTTTTCTGCCTCTTTTAATCCAAATCAACGTTTCAGTTTGTGAGTTTTGCACCACCAGGGGGAGCCGTAGCATGGGAATGAGAGCTAAACGGGGATAATGCCAATTTCTGGTTAATAATTTGTTTTATCTTTGTTCATTTTTCTGACTAGATGTCAATGAAATGACGTGCTTGTAATTTTATGCACGAGTTTTCGTCAGTTTGTCAGAGTTACGCAATTTACATTGGTAAAATATATTTTCTCAGAAAATATTTATACAATTTTTTGTGTATTTAAAATGAACATCACAAATAATAATTTCACTATTTAAAATTATTGTTTTAACTGATTTTATATTTATTTAAGATTTATTTTATTTTTATTTATGAATAAATTGCAGGGAGAAGGTGGTTTTTGAGTTTTGCCAAATAAAGTAACATTTGAATTTATTAAATGATGAACAATAAGAGTTTGTTGACGTTTGATTTTGTTTTTAAATGTTTGAATGTGTTATTTTATTACAACCTAATTATTTACAACAAATTTAGTAATTTGACATTAAAATGCAATGCCATATTCATATAACAATAAACATTTTTTAGAAATGCAGTTAAATTAAAATAAATCCTAATAAATGTTTGTTTTTGTCACAGAAATGTTTCGGGGTGTATGTAATTGTTTTTGGAAGGACAAAATAAATAAATTGCTGTTAAAGAAATTAAATAAGTACCCAAAATGTGTTTAAAACCCCACATGATCAAAGGAAAAAGGGTGACGATCTTGGCAAATGGTTTCAATAGATCAGAGAGAGCTGCTGCTGAAGTCAGATGCAATTATAAGAATTAGCTCGGCCCGACCCTCCACAGCTCATCAGAGTCGGTGGTGGTGATATGTTTATGTCCTTATGCAATCAGACGACCAGTTGGATAGCCCAGGCACCCAGGACTCAATAGGGCTAATCATCATCAGTTTCCACTGAAAGACTGAGATGATCTGCAATTAAGCCGAAAAAGGAGGAGTGATTTTTCCCCTCTCTCTTTTTATTCTCCCTGTCTTTTTTAGTTTTGCAGACAGATTCACTAAAACAAGCACAAAGTAAAAAGTGACCATTTTTATAAAAGCGAGAAAAATAAAAATAGGAACTTTTTCGGTTTAAATGTGTCCAGATTTGACTTTGGTCACTGCGCTTCAACAGTTGACCTCACATAAGTGTCTTTCATTCAGATCCAGTTTCGCACAGAGCACCTCTCTCTCTCCAGGGAACAATTGTTGAAGCACTTTTCTCCCCCCTGAAGCCCAAACGTATTGTTTTGGAGAATAGGACAGCGAGCGGTGAAACATCTGCCTCTCCTCCCTCCTGCCTCTGATGCCCATCCGTCCCAATATCCCAACCAAAGTCAGCGTTGTTTTACGCTGTCCCTTGAATCCAGAGTAATTACTTATCATCAATCAAAATTAATAATAGCTGATTGGGTTGGTGTGGTCAACGATTATAGAAGGGGAAGGGCTGGAGTCTCTCACACCGTTTCGTAGGCAATGGTGGACCTGGCACACACAAAAAGCAAGAGAAGGGGGGGGTTCGTCTATTTGGTCTCCACTGGGAAACTACCGCCTCTCAAGGCGGCCAAAAAGTCAGAGGCTGAAAAGGGAAATGAAGCGTAATTTGAGAAAGATGGATGAGCCCCAAGGGAAACACCCCCCTTTCATTCCTCTTGTATTGCAGATGATAACCAATGCGCTCTCGGCCTCTCTTTCTGCGCTCACGGTGCACCGGCGAGGGGCGGAGGGAGGAGCCGCGGAGAGGTAGAGAGAGAGAGAGAGAGAGAGAGAGAGAGAGAGAGAGAGAGAGAGAGAGAGAGAGAGAGAGAGAGAGAGAGAGAGAGAGAGAGAGAGAGAGAGAGAGAGAGAGAGAGAGAGAGAGAGAGAGAGAGAGAGAGAGAGAGAGTGTGTTTATGTCTCAGTGTGTGACGAATAAGAGGGAAAAGGGTAGCGCTTTGGCACACAACAAAGCGCCGGGCTGACTGACGCTGAAAGAGTGAGCAGATCCGGAGAAAGAGTCCGCTCCCAGGGATGACAGCACACCAGAGGATCTACTTCACGTCTTTAAGCTGAAGTTTCAGTGCGTCACAGAGGAAAGGGGGACATCTGCTGTCAAGTTTCCTTCGATTCAAAGCGTTTTACTGCAAAAATGCAACGACCAGGCGGGCAGGGGACTGCGTTTTCAATCGACTCTCTGATAGGAACCCCTCAGCCCAGGCCGGGACACCTCCTGTACACGGGCTATCCCATGTTCATGCCCTACAGACCTTTGGTTATCCCCCAAGCTCTGTCCCACTCGTCTCTGTCGTCTGGTATTCCTCCACTCGCGCCTCTGGCTTCCTTCGCGGGACGGCTTACCAACACGTTCTGTGCCAGTTTGGGACAAGGGGTCCCGTCCATGGTTGCGCTCACCACCACCATGCCGAGCTTCTCGGATCCCCCTGATAGCTTTTACCCGCCACAAGAGCTGCCCGGTCCGCGTTTGAGCGCCGCCGACCCTGGAGCGAGACGGCAAGAAAGTCCGCACTCTGACGAGCTGCACAGCCGGGACAAGAGCTCCGAGCTGCTCAACTTCTCAGAAACTTTTCAAACAATATCAGGTGAGCTCTGTTTCTTTTCTCCATCACGCTGCGCCATCACAAATAAACACAAGACTGGTGCGTAAAAGTTACACTGTGCGTAAAACGCGTAACGAGCTGATTTAGTGTGGTTACATTTGTGTGTGTGTGTGTGTGTGTGTGTGTGTGTGTGTGTGTGTGTGTGTGTGTGTGTGTGTGTGTGTGTGTGTGTGTAAAATTATCATAGGACATTTAATTTGGAATAAAATATTCCCAAAAGGCCTGAATCTAATTTATGTCTGAAGTTTTTAAGGCATCACAGTTTTTACTTCACTAAAACAGGGTGTGACTAAACATTTTCAAAGTCTCCAAAACTACAAATAAAAGCAACAAAATAAACTGCTTAAAAATCCTCTTAAATTGCTGAAGTTGAGCGTTTTTGAAGCAAAAATGACCTGGCTACATTTTAACCTGTAGCTCGTTCAGACATCTGGATTAAATTTGTGAATTTTTTATTTTATTTATTTATTCTTTTTTACAGGTGAGACTAAATTGTACAGTTCAGACGACGAGAAGCTGGACCTAAAATCAGCGGACACGGTGTGCAGCGACAGAGAGGACAGCTCCGCGGACAGCGAGAACGAAAGTTTCTCGGACGGGAACAACTGCGGGCCTCTGTCCCAGAAGGGCAAACTAAAAACCGGCTCTCAGGAGCCGCTCCCGAGCGGAGGATCGGCTGGGAAGAGCCGGAGGAGACGAACAGCTTTCACGAGCGAGCAGCTGCTCGAACTGGAAAAGGAGTTTCACTGTAAAAAATACCTTTCTCTGACTGAGCGCTCGCAGATCGCGCACGCGTTGAAACTGAGCGAAGTGCAGGTGAAGATCTGGTTTCAGAACCGCAGGGCCAAGTGGAAACGGATCAAAGCCGGAAACGTGAATAACCGGTCTGGAGAACCGGTGAGAAATCCTAAAATCGTCGTCCCCATCCCGGTGCACGTCAACAGGTTCGCAGTGAGGAGTCAGCATCAACAGATAGAGCAGGGGACAAGACCATGAACTCAGAGAAAGCAGAAACATCTCATCAGAAGAAAAACTCTAACTGAATTTTTATTTTTGTTGTTTAGCATGAAGAACAAAAAGGGAGGATTCAGTTATTTGGTCTGAGAGGTGAGAATTTGCTCACAGATAAATTATTTGTGCTTTCATTTTTTATTTATTTGTCTTGTGAATATGTAAATAGAAAATGTGCACTATAAGATGTGACTGTAAATATTTTTTAAGTATTTATATGTAGGGCCAAAACGTTCTGTTCACTATGTGCATGTCCTCATTTGGTGGAGATTTCTTTTCTGTTTTGTGTTTCGTACAGTTTTACATTTGCATGTAACTGGAGCGGTTTCAGCTCGATTGGCTCAGATGTAGGAAGCACAGGAGAATTTATGTTTGGGGATTTGAAATAAAAACATGTGAGGAAATTCTGACACAAGGGACAACTGTAAAGTATATTTGACCTAATAAATTGCTTTATATGAAAACTGGGATCCAGTTTGGATTATTATTTTTATTAATAGATGACAGGTTCTATTTAAAAACATTCTTCTTTCCTGAAAAGTGGGATTTTATTTGTGAAAACAAAAACAAAGTTGATCAAATTCAACACATTTTCAATGAATTACAATCTTTAACTTTTAGTTTGTTCCAAATAATTAGATGAAAACATTTTTTTTGTTTCCAATATTATTTAAGTTTAGTTTGAATGTTTGTTTTTCACTGATCCAAGGTCACATCTTCAGTTTTTAATCTGCTGAAATGATTTTTGCTCCTTTTCAGATACATCAGGATGTGAAAGGTAGACGAACGTATTTTAAATAGGCGAAGTGATTGATTTCTCTTCAGGAGGCCATGTTGTCGCTGGTGGACAGATGAAGCCTCATTAGGCTGAGCACATTCAACACATCTAATGAACTTCTCCATCAGTCAGCACACGCACCACAACCAGCGGCACCTTCGGGTCATTTTATGGTGACAAAAAACTTTTAAACAAAAAAATCAGAGTTTCTGTGGAATATTTAAACAAGTTTGGTTTAATATGTTATCAGAAATGTCAAGAAATCAAATGAAAAACTGTAAAATCTAATATTATCTAAATGCCAAAAATCTTTAAAAATGAGTTCTATTTTGTTAAAAATCTAGACCATGAGGGAAATAAACACAACATCTAAGGATGCACCTCAAGGCAGCAATATTTGAATAATCCATTGCAAGAATAACATCCATCTGTTTTCATCAGAAAAAGGAATGCTGAATGTTTTAGTGGAAACTTGCAGCTCTGGCGCTCCAGATCCGTTTCCAGAGCATGTTGAAGTATTTTCCCCTCACTCCAAAGAAAGTAACTCATGTGTCCCACCTTCAAAATAAAACCCAGGCCTCAAAACTGCAGCTCAATAATCCCCTTCAAAAATGTATTGTTTTTATTAGAATTCCTTATTTGGCAGTTTTGCCTTTTTTTTGGGGAGCATCTTAAAATAAATCTGATCTGAGGTTCGACCCTCAGGACACAAACCGACCCGCCGTGACCTGAGCGCTGGTGAGGTATGAAGTTTATTTCTCCGTCCACCTCATACATCAAGACTTTGACACTTGGATGGGGATTGGAGGAGTGATAGCTGCATGCAGGAGTTTTATTATGATACAAGAGCTGACTAATGTCCATTCCACGATGTTGTGCCAGAGTGCAGCTGCTATTTCAGTCGCCGTGAGCTGCACGGTGATGATGAGGAGCAGAGATGAAGCTTAACTCAAACTTCCAAGTTCATTGTCAGCTTCCTGTGACTATTTCTTAGTTTAGAATAACTCCTCTTAAAGATAATTTCCAAGCAATTGAGTTGTGACAAAGCTGCTCAGTGGGATACGCGAATCTCAAATTGAAATATCAGACGCTCTTTCCATGAGATGCCTAATATGTCCTCATTCCCACCTGTACGGAGAGGGAGAGGAAAGCGAGGAACCTCATTACTGTCCGGCTGTGTGAGTGGATGCTCGGCTCAGACTGAAGGCGCAGCTCCCCGGGAGGGTCCGGGTGGCTGTGGCTACAGTGATGTATGGGCAGATGCATCAAATCGCACAAGATAAACAAGCGATGAGTTTCATCAGGGCCATCATAGCTTTAATTTGGCTGCCTAATGAGTCAGATCTAGTGGCGGAGATAAGAGTTGTCAGAGGCCCGGCTCTAATGAATTTCTTGCCACTTGTAATCAAGGTTGCCTGTCTGAGGGGGGATGATTAATGGAACCCTGGAGGATTCCCTCGGCCCTCAGCCTTCATTACATCTAATGCATTCTCAGGCAAATTAACAGCAAAATGCAGGCAGAAGCCAACAGGGAAGGGGAGAGGAAGAAGAATGGAAGAAGGTGCTGGGGAACTGAGCGTTTGTGTAAAACAAAAGAGGTCAGAAGAGGTGGTGGTGGGGAGGAGAAGGCCAGGTTAGCAGAGATGTACTGAAATTTGCACATTAGTGAGAGGATATTGAGATCAGCATGGAAACTTGAGTTCAGAGGAGTCAGGGAGGGAAGAAGAAGAAGAAGAAAATATCATAGCGCCTCTCAAGATAAAAATCAAGAGGCGCTTCACAAAAACAAACAAAAAAATGTTAAAATATAAAAAAGCATTTAGAAAATATATTTAAAATGAGCAAAAATAGGCAATTGGGATTTAAAAGAAAAAATGTTAACCCTCTGATGCATGAATTATGAAATCTTCAACCACGATTTTTTAAACAATTTTTTTCATTCATCTTTAGGTGTGAATGAAACAAATTTCAACAAATATTTTTCGTAACATTATGTTAATTTACAAATAATTTATACATGTCCTGCTCAGTGGACAGCGTGCATTCTGAACATGGAATATGTTGGCTTGACTTGCTGAAGCCCAAATGGAGGGGCTCACATGCAATAAAGTCTTCAACAGCTGTGCTTAATAGCAAAAATAAATAAATAACAATTTTGAGAACCTGTCCACTGTGACCATTATGCATCAAAGGGTTAAGAAAGAGAGAGAGTGAATAGGAAAGAGGGAAATCAGTGGATCCCGAGGAAGGTGGAATAGGTGGAGAGAGCAGAATAAAGACAGAGTGGTGAAGAAGGTCATACAAAAGCCAGCTTGAACAAGTGAGTCTTCAGCTGCTTTTTGAAGGGCAGAGTGCAACATGAATGTAAGGGTTCGACATGACAGAGCTGGAATTGATGAATGGATGTTCAAGTCTGCAGGGATTCCGGAGAGGAGAGGTGTTGAGACGAACAGGGAGTGAATATAATTACTGATAAAGGAGGTGGAGAAAGTAACGGGAGCATGTTTAGATTACGATCATTTAAGACAAACTACTGCTCAATTTGATGTGGAATTCAGGTCAGGGCTGAACACTATTAAAGTAGCCCGTGGCTGCTAGCTGCTGAGGAAATATGGATTTAATGTTTGCAAATATGGTCTCGTCAGGTCTTTGTGTTCCCATCCATCAGCCTCAGACCCACCTCTGCAATCTCAGAGGCAATTTGTCTGAGAAGAGGTGGGCGGCAGAGAGCCCTCCTCACTGTTTAGCAGGCTCTGATGAAATATCAAAACACACAGCAGCAACAAGCTAGAGCTCCAGTCTCACCACAACAAACACAAGTGGCCAGGGTCTGTCAGGATGTGAGGCCCCATCATAAATTAGATTTTTTTTTTTTACCGTGTTTTTGGTGATTTTTATCTAGATGGCATGAGAAAGCTCAGGAATGATGCAGACTCGTTAGAATTTGGGCGTGTTTTGTAGGTTTATTGTGATATTTCAATATTCAGACATCATTCTGTTGATTATTCCTGCACTCAAGTATTTCTGCTGCAGCAGACAGCAGTCGTAGGAATTTCAGGTTGTCGAAGATTTCATTAAACAATTACAAAATCTCACTTAAAACAGCTTAAACCTCTAAATGATAAAAGATCACTTCTTCCTGCACTTAGATGAGTATAAAATGGCTCATTTTCCAATTTAACAAGTTTGATGCTACAATAAACTTTATTTAATCAAATGACTGATCTGTTTGGATTCTCTCGAAACCAACAGACCATCTGAATCAACCTCCAAGCAGGATGAGAACCAAACACACAAAGAAATGGTTAGGGTCTGCTGACCAAATCCCAACAGCAAGGAAGCCGACAGCCTTTAAGCGCGACTCCTCCACCTACGTCGAGGAAGGAAGAGGCCGAAACCAAAGATGGGACCAGGTGATGAAGAGCAAACAAAGCTGGCAAACAAAAAGAAGGAAAGAGGATGAAGATATGGTGAGACAAGATTAGCAGGAAATAAGGAGTGGATTAGTAGGAGCTTGACTCCTCTGAACACTGGGATCTTGGGTTTTTCCCCACAGTGTTGTGCTGCTTGACACTAAGCTCACCTCTTTATCTTAATCCTCTTTCAGCAGCTGTTGGGGGTCCCGCAGGCAGGAAGTGAGGAGGTTTACATTAATTAGCCTGTGACGGCTGAGTTGTGTCAGTGATGAAGGAACAAGTAAAAGAGGAAACAATGGCGACGAGAAATTCAGTCTCACCTTGTCTGAAGCCGCCACAGGTGAAAATGTTTGTCCCCTTATTGAGTTCTCCTGTATATCACTGAACCAACTGTGATAAACTACATTATTTGGAAAGCTGAAATCAATTTCATGAGCCACACCCACACCTGATTGATGCCAGACGAGTTAAACAAATGGTGTTGAACACCTGTTTAATCGATAGTCTGTAGTAGTAATTAATGCTTTTAATGTTGTAACCGGGGGGAAAGCCCAGAAGTGCCTGTGTTAGCACAGAGAAATCCGCTGGAGGAGGACATAGCTTCAGACAGCAGAGTCTGGAGTCTTATTTTCTGATATCTAAGACATCTCACCTCTGATTTGCTAACAGCAGCACGACTCCACCACTGACTCTAAATGTTTGCTTTGCAATGTTGATGTTTTACCTCCACAAATAACACAAGTCTGAAAGAGCTCTGCTGTGTGGTGGAGTTTCTAACGCTAACAGTTAGTTTCTACTAGCCGAGACGTTCTCTGCCGTTTCCTGGACGCTAACACAACAACAGCCTTCCCGTTGCGAGCCAAGATGGGTGAGTCCATGAATGTTATGTGACAGTGTGACGTAGATCTCTGAGGGTTTTCTAATCCTAGAGTTTCACCGTCTATTTTCTACCAGAAGTTAATGCAGGAGATAGTAGAATATTTTCATGTTCAGTCTGCATGAAAAACTCAGAATGACTGATTATCAGTGAACCACATCTTTAAATGCAACCTGTCTGACAAATTAAAGTGAGCTAAACGATCTTAAAAACAATTATGTCATGTTCTAAAGAACATTAAGAACATTTTGAGCTCTGCGGGCTTGTTTAAGGTCAGAGGTCATTATTCAACAAAGCACAGCTGACCAAAAACACACAAGCACGTCTCAACCTCTCCAAGAGTTTTGGGAAAATATTCTGTGGACTGAAGAGACAAATGTGGAAAACGATCATTCCAACAAACACGGTGGCAACAGTGTGATGGTCTGGGGCTGCTTTGCTGCTTCAGGACCACTTGCTGCAACTGAAGGAACCATGAATTCTGTTTTCTACCAGAAAACCCTGACTGAAAGAATATCTAACCTTTGACCCTAAACAAACCGTTCATGCTGGAAAGCCCTTCAGAATTAGAGGCGGGACAAAATTCATCCACAGCAATGCTTACCACAAAAGCTTGACTGAATTTGTCAGGGTTTTGGTTTGGATCATTTTTATCCTTTGATCAGTAAAGTTATAATTAGAAAACTGCATTTAGCATTTTCTCAGGTCATCTTTGTTTGATCTTTACATTTTTTTTGCTAAAAGAGCAAAGCAAAAAGAAAACTTCAAAGCATTGCGGACGAGCACGATGGAGCGTAACTGGATGACACAATCACGACAAATGTGTCAGATTCCCCAAACTCAGGGAAGGCTACATTGTTTTATTTGAGTGTTTATTAATAGGTCAACAGTCAGCCAAGCATCCAAGCATACAACATGTTACTCTTTAGCCTTTGCTTTGTTTCACGCTCTGAACAAAAAGAAAAAGGAAACAATAGGAAAAGGCAAACAAAACAAACACAATTAAAGATATTTACAAACGGCATTATAAATATGTCAAATGTACATCATTATACACAAGTACCAAAGATGGTCAGTTAAAGTCAAACAGAGCATCTAAAAAATACACCTAAAGAGAAACACAAACAACATATCAAAATGAGGTTTATGGATCTAGAGTACCAAAACCAGTTCAGTTTGTTTCTCCAGGAGGTTTTTATCTTTAGATAAAAAACATTAAGCTAATATTTACACTTCATATTGTGTTTGTGTTCAATCAGGCAGGCTTCTAGTGTTTTCCCTTCCTCGTCTACGGTAAGCAAATAAGGGTTCAACTCTGCCTTTATCCCGCTGGACAGTTAAATGTACTCAGTGGAATAAGTTGGTCAAGTCATTATCAGAAATAAGGCTGATATTACAGTACGATTAAAAAAATAATAATAAAAGGTTTGTGGCTTTAATTTTTCAGTTTTGGGGAATTTTGCTAATCTATTTTAAAGTTAGATAAAAAAAAGGTTGATTCAACTTAAAATTTGTGTGTTTTAAGGTTGTTTAATCTGTAAAAAAAAAAAATAATTCATTACGATCAAGAATTTTGGCACTAATGGACAAAAATTCAACCATAAACTATTTTTTTTCAAGTGGGCAGAGAATAAGCATGAATTTGTTTCTATTTTTAGGCAATTGAGGGTTCTTGTTGTGATGAAACAGCTAATCACAGGTCTTTTAAAAAGATTTCACTCCTTTTAGCAGTTCTACTAAAGCAGTTGAAGTACACAAGATGTAACACTTGAGGAAAAGGCAGGAAATCCTGCAGGAAAAGTTGCTAATTCTTCTTTGGCGACACATATTTCTAAAGTAAAAGTGGAAGATGGACTGCAAAAGGAAAAGAATGTTAGAATATGTTTTAGCTAACCTAATTTTCATGTGGAGCGTAGATTCATTTCCTATGAAATGAAAGCAGGAAGAAGGTTTTTTTGTAGCGTATGAAAGAAAACTTTTCTAGATTTTGTTTTCCTTATACTGGATTTAAGCAGGAAAAAAGTCAAATATACCGGTTCCTTCACAACATTGCTTCTTCCTCTTTTGACTACATATACACTTTGAGTTGGCTCACAGCAAAATTATTGCAGATTAGGTACCATGTGATGTCTCCTTCTGTAAACAAATAATCCCGCCTTTGTAAACTCATTAAAATTGACTTGTTTCATCAAAATCAAACAAAAGTTGCACCTGAAGTTGTTTTTTAATCCCAACTTAAAGGAAAAAAAGTGGCTGTGGAATACTGTACAGTTTTATAAATAAAAAACAAAATACAAACTTAGCATACATCCCTCTATAGACCTGTCGCTGACTGAAATCCCTTTTATTGCCTGCTCTTCATGGGGAATTCTCATGGATGAAAGAAGGATACGTTATATTGACAAGTCTGAGAAGGTTCAAACTGCTCTTAAAAGAAATAAGGCAACAGAACAAAACTACTTTTTACAAATATTTGTACAATAAAACACAGTTTTGTTCCCGAATCTTCACCGTCTCGTCTCGAGTGTCCTTTATATAAAACAGAAATGCCCGGGTGCTCAGTAACTGCTGCGCACATTTACTGAATCGCATTAAGTTCAAACACACACACACACACACACACACACACACACACACACACACACACACACACACACACACACACACACACACACACACACACACACACACACACACACACACACACACACACACACACACACACACACACACACACACACACACACACACACACCACACACACACACACACACACACACACACACACACACACACACACACATATCACAGAGTCAACAGCAGATATGATCCATAAAGTACCGGTGTCCCATCTTTTAGCCACAGGAGGCTAACGGGTGTTTTCTGGATCTTCTGGTTGGAACTAAAGCGAATACGTAGAACAATTACCAACAAAACTCATCGTAAAATTATTCCAACAAAGAGATCATAATGGAAGAATTTCACGGCTCCAATCAAACCTTTGAATGTGAATGAATTCTGATTGAAGAGGCACGCTTACAAAGCCATGTGGCTTAATAGTGGTAAAACATTTTGCCCCTGAATCCCTCCGTAGTCACGGACACTTTTTACTGAAGGATTGTGGGTGAAGAAAATGACTCACTTCCAACCCAATAGGAATTCTGCAATCAGCTCCTTTATGATGATCCGAATCCATTTCCCTGTGAATTAAGTATCTAAATCATTTGGCCTCTTTAACTATAATTGCTTTGCCTTTGTATATGAATAGCACGAAAGAGTTTGATGGCTGTGTCGAACACATGCATCATTATGAGAGCTGTGGCAGCTATTGTTAGAGATTTAGTTTGTCTCCAGATCGGCATTTCAATCCATTTTTTTTTTTTTTTTTACATTTTTTGTATTATGGTGCTGAGGCTTAGGACTTCGAAGGAGGTTTATACTATAAAACTTAACTCACGCCACTAAAGAAGAGAAGACGTGATAGGACATGTTTAAAACAGTAAGGATTTTTTTCTTTACTGTTCTTTAGGGACGAATGCCAGAAGGAAGCCTCGCTAGTTTGGTTGATGCTTAAAAAAACTTAAAGCTGATCATGATCCCATCAGACCAAGTCTGAATAAAGTTACAAAACAAAATGAATTAAAAATAATACAATAATAAATGTACAATATACAGATTCAAGCCTGCAACGCAGTGAATTATCAACAGTGTGTTGATTTTTCCTGGCATCTCTCCTTTCGTTCTGGTTCTGGGTTACACAGTGAAACAGAGGTGGAAGTACCAAGAAGAGAAACAGAGTTGAGTTCTGGCTTCTACATGATGCTGATGCTGCGGTTGAGATCACACTGGGCGTTGTTGTTGTTGATGTTGGGGTTTCGGAGGCTTATGTTGGACGTGGGCGCGGAGGTCAGGCTGCTGGAGTCGTTGGGGCAGCCGTGTTGAAGCAAAATGTCGACGCACTCCTGGCTTCCTGCTCGACGGGCGTAGGACAGCGGCGTCTGGCCACGGGCATCCCGACTTTTCACATCCACTCCGTACTGCAGCAGAGGGGGGTAGAAAAGCTGTTACATGATAGGAAACTAAATATCCTCAAAAGCACATTTAATCCCATAAATAATTTTCTCCTCATATCAAACAGATATTAAATTATTTTTGCATCTGTTGATTCTAAATAAATAAGTGATATAAACTTAGCAATCTGCACCTTTTCCATTCACCTCTATTACATCATTCCAGCAAGGCTCCTTCATTTTCTCCAAAGATCAATCAGAAAACAAGAAAAGTGGATTTTTTAGCTTAAGTGCAGTTTTAGATTTTGTTAAAAATGTGAAATTTGCTCCTTTTCTGCACCTTTTCTTCTGTTTTGAAGTTCTGCATCCAAGTATCGACTTAAATATTTTTGTGCTTTTTTACCTAACAAATTATGTGAAAAACTCAGCTGCTCAAATCAAATCAGTATTTTCAAAGGTGGCCAACACATAGTGACCTTTTTAAAGCACAAACAGAATGAACTATGTATTTTTAAGATCTTTACACTTCAACACCAGAGGGAAAAAAAAAACCCTCATCTGTCGAGAACTTTTCCTTTAACTTGAACTTTTGGATTTAAAGTTTGACTTTGGCTCTTTGAAAGTCTTAAACCGAACCAAGGTGAACAAACTGGCTGGAACAAAAATGGCTGTCTGTAAACCTCCCATCCAAGCTCACCCAGATGAGCAGCTGCGTGATGACAACATTGGCCATGGCACACGAGAGGTGCAATGCGGTGCGTCCGTCTCCATCCCCGTAAGTCTCGTTGACTTCCTCTTTGGTGCCGTGGGCCAGCAGCAACACCACCAACCTCAGGTCATCCTCCACCACCGCTCGGAGCAGCTGCTGCCCCAGAGGAACGTCGGACTGGGGCAGCCCCAGCAGGAACAGCTTCTGCTCGTACTTGGCCCGGATCCAGCTCTCCTTCTGCTCCCTGCAGAGGAAAACAGACAGGAGCAGCTGCAGGTCAGGCCAGGGGAAACATGGTGAACTTGCTATGAGCAATTTCCCACCTTGGTTAAAGAAGGTTCGGAATAAATTAGAGGCTATAATTTAAAGGCAGAGTCACACACAGAAAATAGACTGTGAACACACTGGGGAAACATTACAGTAATTGGCCTGTGAGACTCACTGAAGTATAGTGACATTTTTAAATTATTAGAGCACCGGAAAAGTGATTCCATTATCGCACACGTTCACAGTGGGAAATAATACAGTAAGATAGGCTGGAGAGATCAGAGAATGCCAAAGGGTGCGGCGCTCTGGGCACCATTCCAGTTTTGTGTGATTACGGTCAACGCCACGGCGGTTATAGCTCAGCCAGCTTTCTAAAGGTTACACACCTCGAACAGGATGTCTGCTGCGGACAATACAGGAAGGTGGGGGACGCATTTTTATCAGCGCTGTCGGCTGTCAGTCTGAACTGGTGGATCCCTTCCACAAAAGAGGCAGTGTGCCTCTAGCCCTGGGCCTCCCTTGGGGGTGGCTGGGCCCTGAGTCAGATCGATGGGGCTGAATGGCAGCCAGAAAGAGGTGGCTGGATGTGGGGCTCCTTCGCTCCGGCCTGTGGCAGAGAATGGAGATGGAGGAGAGCCTCCGTCCTCTATCGTCGGGCAGAATTCTATCTATTGCTTTCCATCTTGACCCCTCATATCATACTCACATACAAACTGTCCCCAAAAAAATAAAATCAATATCAATATGTGAATGACTGAGCATGCCCAGTGTGATGCTGACCCTGTGACCCTGTCAGTCAGTGTGATAAGGGGAGCAGAAAGAGGCTGTTGTTTGGATCTGTGGGTGAGTGACAGAAAGGAGAAGGTTCGTACGAATCGGTTAAAGCGGCGACGCTGGCTGGAGTGACAAGGCTCTCGCGGGACTCTTTATCAACGGGCCAAGGCTCAGCAGCATGTACAACCTGACAGTCCAACTCCATTCAATTGTGTTTCATCTTAATAAAAGTGGAAATGGCCAAAATCTGCCTTTCAGATAAGCAGCTAAACATCGCATCCATGAAAGAAAGTTGGTCTTTCTCGAATTTTATTTCATCAAACTTTGAGACTTTTAATTGGAGAATAATAACTTTTAATGGTAATTTATCTAAATGGTCGCGTGCTCCAGCTTGTCTGAGTGCCAGTCAGACATCAGTTTCAGCACAACCATCAGGTCTTTAAGAACAATCTTTTATACAGCGCCTCTCAAGATGAAAATCACGAGGCGAAGAACAAAAATGTGAAAATGAAAAATTAAATGATCAAAAAATATATATATAAAGAGAAAAATAAAATGCAAGAAAAGGAAAAATGAGGAATGAACAAGAAAGAGGTAATCAGTGGATCCCGGGAAAGGGGAAATTGGTAGAAAGAGCAGGAAAAGGAGAGGGTAGTGAGTGACTTTCTGTTAACTGTTTCATGTCCTTAAAACAGCTGGGCATGACTCAAACTTAAGGCCGACAGTATTTCTTCTTTTTAGCATCTTTGTAGAAAATATTGCATGTGTGAATGAAAGTATGGCTTCAGTCAGGGCTGGTCAATATGACCATATAAAACTACATCAAACTAATCACTATTTTTATTAATCATTAATGTTTTCGGTAGCCTGGATATGTAAATATATGGTCAGGCCAGGACTCACTGAACCCAGTCGTGGAACATAATCTACGGTTGTCTTTCAAACTTTCTCTGCATGCAGTTGGACAGCAGACCAATCAGGGCCACAAACAATGTGATGTATTCGTCTATACGGACGTCAGTCACTGAGGCAGTCCGCCATACGTCCTTTGTCAAAATAAAAGACTTATGTCTCAAAGAAAAGCCCAAGTCTAAATAGTTCAAAGTAGATGCTAAAGCAGTTTCAAATGAGTCACCATTCCTGATCCGACGCCATCTTTTATTTGTTCTCCATCGCAGCTCTGTCGCTAAACCCGTCCAATCAGTGCGTTTTCATGCGCATCAGAAAACCCAAGTATTACCCTCGTTCTCATATGTCTATTGAGGAAAAAGTATTTAGAAATACATATTGTTATACTTTTTGTGCCCAGCTCCAGCTCCAATTAGGACTTCAAAACTTTATTCAGCTTCAAACAGAGGTGTTAAGGATTAAAGGGGTCATATTATGACTTTTTAAATTAAGTAATAATTGTTCTATGGTCAATATAAAACACGTTTACAAAGTTTTTGCACAAAATTCCTCTAACGTAAAGGAAATGTAGTAGTTTAATTCTTAACAGTTTCAGTACCTTCCAGAATGAGCCATTTCAGGGCTGTGTCACTGTGTGAGCAAAACTTTTGGTTGATTCACGCTGATTAGTCATAACTCAGTAGGAAATGACATCAGCAGATGTCGTTCAAAACTACCGGCATTAGTAAAATCAGAAGAGTTGCTTTTTGCAAAAGAAAATAAGCATAAATCACGCTGCTTTAAAATTGCTGATACAAAACTCTCAACACTGGAAAATTATCCCATAAAAAACACATCTTCTTCTGGTCATTGAATGCCACATTTTACAAAACGCATCTGCAATTGTCCTCCAAATGGATTAAACTATGACAGAATAAAACGTTGTAAGTCAGTAATGTTACTGTGGATATGTGTGTGTGTGTGTGTGTGTGTGTGTGGGTGGGTGGGTGGGTGGGTGGGTGGGGGGGGGGGGGGGGGGGGGGGTCAATGGGAAATCAGGTGGGGTACACCCCGGAAAGATAGCCAGTCCATCGCAGGGCAGATCCGGATGAAATCCACATTCAAATCCACTAATCTGCATCAGGCTCATACCATTTTCTACCAGACTCCTTTCTGAGCAAACTTTGTCTTTTAACAATGAGTCGGGTGACTGTTCCTAAAAGCAAAATTAAACTTACAAGAAGAGAAAGTTTTAATTATCATCACCCAAGCCATTATTAGGTAACTGCGAAACCACTGCTCGAGGCTCATAAAGGAACTGAAACTATGTTTAAGATTGGTTTTAAAAGCTGAGGCACGGATAAGCTAATTGCTACATTTTTGGAAAACCCTGGAAATGTGGAGGTCATTCAGCCCTCCAGGCCATGAGGAAACCTTTTCTTATAGGAGGAGGTTATGTGACCAACAATACACCGCTAATAGCAGGCAATTGCAGTTGCTTGAAGTTTTATGGTGTAAGACCTCTGTCAGTCCCTGCTCAGTCATTCTGGACAAGCCTGTTAATAAATCAATTGGCCTTAGAACTGGTGGAGTGCTCAGAACGGCAAGGGGCTGTCCGGCCTCTCCACCTCTTTAGTTTAGATGAACTCTTGGTTAAAAAGTGTTTTTAGAGATTTTGGGACTTTCTGAAAACTGTAGCTACATCCCGCTGGACCCCTCGAGGCAATATCGTAACAAGAAATCTAAAAAACACTAGGAGCTGTTGTCCACAGTTTGTTTGAAAAAGCTGGAGCACTGAATGAACACTGAATCTGTAGAGCCCAGTGAATTAATATGAGCTAAATGAGGCATAAAGTTAGCACCATGATGTGAAACAAAAAGGCTGAAGAAAGCCGGAAGACGTCAACATCTCAGAAAGGAGCCCAGAGGACACTTCATTAGCCTTCGCTACAAAATCGGCCATCAAGACCTGCAGGAAGAGACCTCATTCACTGCTGATGCCGAGCTTTGAATTACACAAACTTGCTACTAGAAAAGCCGATTCCCAAGAAGACGGTGGCGCAAAAACTGCCAAGCAGAAGTTCTTCAGAATTCCCAAGCTGCTGCTTCTCGGAAAAAAAAAGAGCGTGAAAGGAAGTGAAATGGTAATCCCGCCTCTGTCTTTTGTTTGAAGTAGCAGAACAATCCAAACAGAGGTAGGGTTTAGACAGTCGTGTGGGGGGGGGGGGGGGGGGGGGGGGGGAACTGAGACTCTTGAAAAAGACACTTCCTCACAGCAGGAGGAAGAAAAATAAAATCAGCAGATTTAGCATCTCAAAGTGCAAGGACAAAGTAGGAGGGCAGGTGGAGAGGGGTAAAAAGGAGGGAATTTTCACAGCATGGGGAGGATATTTAGGAAATTGATCTAATGGCTCCTGTGTACACTCACACAGCTCTCCAAGCTCAAACACACTGAACATCCCCACCCGGGCTCGGGCACATACTTCTTCTGAATTTCACTGTTGCTCAGGGGATAGAAGGACCTTTAAGTTCCCAATAAAAACACCGTTCTCTACCACATTTTGCCACTGCCTACTCCTGCTATTCGGTTATCCCTCGGCACAAGCAACATTCGACTTTCCTCGACTTTGATGGGAGTGAAATTCTGGGCAAACATCAAAAACATTTCCAGAGTTTAATGTGGAAATGAGATTCCTGTTTAGAGCTGGTGTCTCCTTTCATTTGCCTTTGCAGGTCCTGCTGAGATAAAGGCAGCCCCAACAGTGGAGAAAGGCCTCTTTTATAATTCTATTACCGCTCCGTCCCTTCAGCTCTCCGTCGAGCAATGTATTCTGACCCTGACTTAATTAAGTGGCAAATGGCAGAATGATTCTCCTAAACCCAGCCCACAGAGTCAAGAACACATGACTGAATTCAAATAAAGAGGAACAAACAAGGATAATTAGTCAAGCCTGAAAGACAAAAGGCAAACGGGAATTTATAAGAGGGGAAGGGAAACTGAGACGGCGGAGGTGGAGCTCGCGATGCTTCGGAATGACCAATCTGATCGCCTGCAATAAAGGCGCAGCGGTCCATAGGAGGAAGAGGATGTCTGTCCCATGACTCGCCCCATCTTTCAAACGCAACTATCAAAGCTCCCCTAGCTCCTCCTTCGTCTCCACGAGCATCCAACTCCACTGTGGACACATCAAACAGATGCAGTGAAGGGGAGAAATAGGGTTGAAGGTGGAACAGAGAGGAAGGGGGGGTCCTGGGTTGGACCAGCTTGAACAGACTTCCCAGCGGGGGGTGGGCGACTTCTATACGACTGATTCC